TAAACTTTCAAGTCCTGTTTAAAGGGATTAGCTTGCATGCATCTCGACAATTTTGCCATCTAGCCTGGTTTACTCAAAAGACTGTGGACAGTCAAAATTCCTGTGTAGTTGGCGCTCTGGTGGATACTGACTGCGGATAGTTGAAATTCCTGTGTAGTTAGCACTCTGGTGGATACTGACTGCTCTCGCCTTGTTGCAGCTTTGTTCTTTCACTGAACACCTTACAGGAAGAATGGTCTAATGTGGAAGGCATTACCCGAGGACCAGAAATAGAAACCACGCTGAGTCATGTGGAGAAATGAATTTGGTTCCTATGAGGATGAAGCAGAATAAAAACTGACTCTGAGGAAATCCCACCTGAAACTAGCCAGTAGTGTCATTGCTACTACCCCAGGTGTTGTTCAGCTGCAAGCTCAGAGTAAGGATTCCTTCAAGAATAATGTTTTTCTGCTGAATTCAGCCTAATATGAGGGAGACCATTGACCATGGGAGAAGGGAAAAGGGAAGCCAGGGATGGTGAAGGGGGAGCCCTAACTGGCGAACCAGCCTAGAGTGGCCACAGTCCTTTTCATTTAGAAGGTGAACAACTACTGTCAATATTAATACTGGGCTGTATCCCTAAAATTGTGAGATAGGGGTGGAAGAACTGTAATACAAGCATCCCTGAAGCTGTGTGTGAGCTCTTAGGTGTGGGGACATTACTGAGGTTACAGTGTTGTACCTCATCCACTGGACCCCAAAAAGACCACCGAGGACCCAACACACCAACATGCAAAAGCAAAGGTTTATGGTTTATTCGGGCTTAAGCTTGGGCTCTCAGACCTCACCAACTCAACGGATCCATGCTGAGAGCCCAGAGTGCCCAGAGTAAGGGAGAGTGGAGCCTTTTATAGGTTTTAGACAAAGGGGCAGGGATACTGAAGATACATTTTGGTTGGTTCAAGGAGCCCGCGCACGCCAACATAATTTTAAACTGATTGAATGTATAAGATGCAACCCTGGAAGTTTCTTATTGGTAGGTGCTATTCTCAGGGCTGTGGAATGTGCTGACTGTTATCTGTGGGGCCAGGAGTCTCCATTTTTACCTTATAGGGCAGTTTTCATGCCTGGGCTTGCTTAATCTATAGTTTCCTGGAAGTGGGGGGGATAGCAGCAGGAGTCGGGGCATGACAGGGCATGTCTAGGCATGTCTAAAGCAGCAGCCAAGCATTTTACAGAAGCTAAAAGAGCAATTAGTGGGGGTCTGGAGGGATTGGGGGGTAGTGGGTGAATGAAGAGGGTCTCAGGGTCCTACAACAGTCTCTGTAAACAAACTATGAAAGGACCAGGATGTGGAATGAACTGGTAGACTTTATGGAGCACAGCAAGGTAACTTTGATGGTCATTCTTTAAAATATTTATTTTTATTTTATGTGTATGAGTGTATTGCCTGTATATATGTAAGTGCACCCATGTCATGCAATGCCCGTGGAGGTCAGAAGAGGGCACCAGATCTCCTGGAACTGGAGTTACAGATGGTTGTTAGCCACTATGTGGGTGCTGGGAATTGATCCCAGGTCCTCTGCAAGAGCATTACCAGTGCTCTTAGCTGTTAAGCCAACTCTCCAAAATCCAAAGTCAAATATATTTTCTATATAATTAGATATTTTATTTCTCCCTAAGTGACTCTTTCAAAGATTTATGCTCGGAGATGGGCAGAATAGGTGACAAAGGGATGGGACAACTGAATCTGCTTGAATTGCCACAAAACCAATAACCTGAATTGTAGAAAACAAGCAAACATCCCCCCACCCCAAATATTATACTTTAGGTGACTTGCCACGTGTTCAGATGGGTTATGTTCACAGGATTCAGTGAAAATAAATGGTAGATACTACTATTGTACATCATAGTTTTGGAACACGTTACATGGTGTCCACTGTATGGGATGCTTTACAAATATGATTCC